CCCACTCACTGGCCTGTGATCTTCCTGCATTCGGCATCATTGCATGTGTTTTGTGAGTCTGGAGAGGATTTTATAGATTGGTATCGGACATATGGGCTAATATTGGATTTACGGACTTAATCTGGACTGGGCTGGGATGTTTTCTTAATGTACAATTACTCTTCATATAAAACTCTTTCTTATACACATGAGTCTCCCTGGACTTGTTTCTCTAGTCTACCTGGACTAACACAGAGTTTGAAAAGGAAGAGCTATAAAAAGCAAATAGCTCTATTAAATATTAGAATATAATATACCTTTTTACCTAGAATAGTATTTTTACCTAGAATCACAGATACAGACTAATGAAGTAATAAAAAGTGCAAGAACTGAAATCAAATTTTAGTAAAAATAAAGTACCTCGAACCTTTGGGTTAAAAATATACTTTGAACACGTGGCATTGGGACAAGATAGTTATTTGGAAAAAGACAAAATTAGATCCATTCCTCACCCACTGACTACAAAGTAGTTAAGTTCCAAATGAAGCAGAGGTCTAAATGCAATAAATACAATGGAGTTGTTCTATAATGGATATCTGAGCACTGATAGGGAAGGGTTCTCTAGTTATGACCATTAATTTTAAAAAAAGGTTAATACATTGGACTACAAGATTTTTTAAAAGGAAATTTTAAAAGCCTACCTGGCAAAACAATCAAACAAAAAACTCCACAAAGGGAAATTAGGAGAAACTATATAAAAATCTATTTCATTAATATAGGACTAATACCTCCAATATACAACAAACTTTAAAAATTAAGGTGAAGACCAAAAAGCCCTCATTGTGATGTGGTATGACTGTACAACTCTGTAAACATACTAATCACAATATTGCTTTTAAAATGTGTGACAGTTATGCTGTGTAAACTATATCTCAATAAAGTTGCTACTTTCAAGTCCACACAGAGGTACCTCAAAAGAAACGTCTGGCATCTAGCCCAGAAGCAACAAAGCCCACATGGAAGCAGCACA